CTTCGGGGTAACATAGAACATATCCTACTGGTGTCATTTCAGCCAGGATTCCAACTCACTAAGTTGCTGCATGAAGATTGTTACCTTGTTTGTAACCCTCGTTATGCTGCAGTCACAGGAAACATGTGCCCTCTTTTCAGAGTCTCCGAAGGTGTTCGGTTCAGCTGGCACCCCACAAAGGGCAAGCACAACACTGAAATCCAAGATGCCATTATTGGCTTATGAAGGATTATACAAATCGCACATAATTTTTGAAAATACCTGACAAATATACAGCAGATGTGGTCTCTTGATCATATCCACCCACAGCTTTCAAGTCTAACATCTTGTCCAAGTAGGTACAGTTCGAGAATACCTACTCGCAGAACTGCAGAAACTGCTGTAGTTTGATCAGGTACAGTTTGAAAACAATTATTTAACCCATAGCTAGCATCTTATGTAAGTATGCCAATAGTAACCTATTCCTGCACTGCAAATAAAAGTTCTGAAGTTCCCATCCTGGCTCTGAAAAGAACAAACCATGCACATATTTCTATCTCTGCCATATTTTGCTAAAATGATTACTTACCATATAAAATAGGCGTTAATACACCCAAATAAGAGGCAACTAATTAAAAACTGCAAGCTTGCCTTCCTTTATTCCTTCCTCTCCACAATACAACTTTAAGAAAATTGCTGAAATTAACAAAGACTACTAATATCGACTACAAATTATTATTACATTAAAGTTGGAGCACCAGATTGTTCCGTTACAGCTGCAAGCAATCTTGGCATTGGGGGCACATCAATCTCCTGTTGACCCTCGAGAACCCGGACCACTTCACCCATTGTCGGGCGATCAAACTCATTATCTTGGATGCACCAACCTGCAACTTTGCAAACCCTTTCAGCCTCTTCCAAGTTGAAGTCACCATGTAACTGTGGATCCACCAAACTCTTCAAATCTCCGCCATGAAGCTTGCTGATGGCTTGGACAGGGAAATATTTAACATTCTGGTTACCGCTGCTGCTAGCGTTGTATGATTCTTCAGGTGAGGAATTCCTCCTCCCAGATATGATTTCCAACAAAACCATGCCGAAGCCGTAAACATCAACTTTCGGTGTGATTGCCACTCCGGTAAGCCACTCTGGGGCAAGATAACCTGCAGTGCCCCTGAATGAAGTCAGAATTCGGCTGAAATCCCTTCCCACAAACGCTGCCAGCCCAAAGTCTGCAACTTTAGGAACAAATGATGTATCCAGAAGTATGTTCTCCGGCTTAATATCGCAGTGTATGATGCACTCACGACAACTCTGATGCAAGTAGGATAATCCTCTAGCAACTCCTAGGGTTATCTGATATCTGGTGTTCCAACTCAGGACGGCAGCATCAACATTGCTCTTCTTAAATAGATGACCATCAAGAGACCCATTAAACATGTGTTCATACACAAGTAATCTGTGGTTGCCTTCGCAGCAGAAACCAATCAATTTGACTAGGTTTATGTGCTGGATCAGTCCAATTGAGCTCACCTCGGCCCTGAATTGCTTCTCTCCTTGACGGTCACCATCAAGCTTTTTCACTGCTATAGTAATCGTCGAATCACTTAACATTCCCTTGTATACAGAACCAAAACCACCACCTCCAAGCTTTTCTGAGAAGTTTTTAGTAGCACTAACTAATTCAGTGTATCTGAAGGCTATAATTCCACCAGCACTACCTTGATTGCCGTATAAAGGCAAACCACACCACTTGAATTTGTTCCTCCAATCAGTAACAACAGCATGAGCATTAGTAACCCAAAACCAATAATACTTGCAGCAGTAAAAACTCCGACGTTTGGTTTTCTTTTCTTTTTTCTGGAACCTGGCAGCAAATCTTTGGTGGCAAGGCGAAGGTAAAGAACATCTTCAGAATTATTATCAATGCCATCATTCAGATTTAAACTAAACAATTCCCCATGCCAGACAGAGCATCTGCTATTGCTATAGGAATAAGCAGTGCAGGAGCAGGAACCGAGACATGCTTCTTCACATCTGCTCTGAGTGGTAGCAACATCTATTATTTGCGGGTTGTAGGGCAATTGAACTTGAGCAATGGGGTGGAACATGTCTGATGAACTTGTCATGTTTTTGCTGTTACCACTAGTGCTGCAATGTAACGGTGTGTTTCTGATACATCCTCCTGTTCGATCCTCAAACTCCCAATCCTGCGGTGACTTATGGGAGAAGCTCTCCATACAGTCACAGGGTGGATGTGCAATGCCATTGCAGACCGTGAAAGGTCCGCATGTAGCAGGTGGGCTGCAGGGATCTGCAGGCTCAGAATATATGGTTTGCCAGGACTGGTTGGCTTGTGACCAAATATTCAGTTTGACCTGACCAGAGATGTCTAGTGAGACAAACATGGAAGTTGATGATTCATCCAGTAAAGTGTACGTGTAGTACTCCTCTTGGTTGTTATCGACATATATTGGGTTAATCAAACCTTTGGTCCGGGGATCCAAATCTAGTAATGACTTGAGTACTGGTATCAAAGATGATGATCCCGTGGTTGCATAAGTCAGATACTTTACCAGGGGGTTGTTGCTGCGCTTGAGGACAATCCCGCTGGTGTCTTTTAGTTCAATGCTGTATGAGCCAAGACCCAGATCAATGAGGCTCTTTTTTGATATGTACTGGCGACTGAAACCAGTGACCTTGTTACGGCCCAACTTGGCGCCAGGAAGCCTGATATCTGTTGGGTAGTCGAAGCTCTGCCACAACATCTCTTGGCTATTTACGAGTAGGGCAAGGTTTCCACTGTTCAAGAGAACAACGGAGCTAGAGGTGGTGGTGTTTATGCTACTGTTTTTCCTATTGACAATGTGAGTGGACCAAACTATGGATTCAGTTTTGGCGGCATGGTTTACGATGACAAGATTGCCATCGCTTGATATCTTGAGCTGTGTTAGGTTGACACTAGGGTTGGTGATGGGCTGATCCCTATTAGCAACCCACACGGTAGTGAAAACTGGGATCTTATTGAACCATATGCCAAGGTACCAGCTGGAGCTGGGGGAGGTGGCATTGTGGGACGACTTACTGATGCCGCTTGCTGCTGGCTGGAAGAAGCCGAGGGCAAACTTGCCGTTTCTTGAGACGAGCTTGCCACCGACGGCGAGTGCTTGGCCTGCCGTGAGAGAATCTTCATATGCAGCTACAGAGAAGCACCAAAGAGGAGTGTACAAGAGGAGAAGCCCGAATAGTATGTAGAGGGGAGGCATGCTGAAGAAGAGTGAATAATTTAGAGAGGAAGAGTGGATGTATATATAGAATGGAAGGCCAAGTGTTCAGCTGGCTGAAGCTGACGGGGAAGTCCACTTGGGGTCAATTAAGTTCACATTGGAACAGAATAGCCATAAATACAATGCAGTGCTACTCCCTCCTTCCATCTATATAGGGCCTAATGCGTTTTTCGAGGCTAACTTTGACCAAATACTAAAGCAATACTCCCTCCGTTTCTTTTCACTCCGCATATAAGATTTGGTCAAAGTCAAACTACACAAAGTTTGACAAGATTTATATGAAAAATATGAACATCTACAATACTAAAACTATATAGTATGAAAATACGCTACATGGCATCTGATAATATTGATTTCATATTGTGAATGTTTATATTTTTTTAATATAAAGTTAGTCAAATTTTACAAAGCTTGACTTTGACCAAACCTTATATGCGGACTAAAAAGAAACAAAGGGAGTAATATATGACATGCAACTTACACAAAGCACACTGTTAAATTCGTGTGTGAAAGAAGCTTTCAATGATATAATTTTCACATTGTGCATGTCATGTATTATTAATCTTGACAATAGTCAAAGACGGTCTTAAAAAACACATTAAACCCTATATAGATGGAAGGAGGGAGTACCATAATTGCAAGGCAGGACTTTCAATGGACCATGGTCAGGTCAATCATGAGGCCTCCATCAAGCTCACTGTTCACCAATCAGTGAGCTTCAAACCAGAAAATATACCTCACATATTAGAGCGATATCTTCGAATATAACCTTTCTAAACCCACAAAATATTTGCTTCAACGCATGGTTGAGCATTAAAAATGCAAATTCAAGGCATATCAACAACAAAAGGTCCCTCCCTGAAAAAGCGCCATCACAGAAATACAAAAATGTTGAGCTGAAGTCGGCAAACTTAAAACACAAAAAAGAGAGCTCGAGAAAGAGCACAAATTAACAAAAAGGGGTGGTGCTAGTGCCAATATCAGACTCACAACTTTAGTACAGAAATTCAGCTTATGCTTAGATAAGCTTTGGGACCGTCCCAGGCTAGGAGAATAGGTAAGTGCACCTTAGCTGGTCTGCGAGGACTTGCATGGTCATTGGTCAAGTCAATCACGAGGACTTAGCATGGTCATTGGTCAAGTCAATCATGAGGCTTCCAGCAAGCTTACCGTTCACCAACCCTCATGGCAATGGCTTCAATGAGCATGGCAGGCTGGCATAATAGGGGACATGGCAACACCCAGAAAAGCAGGTAATAGAACTCTGTTTTTGAGAAATAGAAAGAATCATCAATATAATGGTAGACGTAATTTGGCAATGTCGGTAAATCATAAATAAGTAACAGTGAGGGAGCTTCCTTCTATATCTCCTACAACTGGAAGTGTACATGTCAAGAACCCTCATGGCATGCTATTTGTCAAAAGATGAGCCAACAAGGCAATGGCCTAAATGATCATGGTATTAACCTAAACCAGAAAGAAAGACCTCACTTATACGAGGGTTATATTCTACAAATACAAATTCCACATATGTACAAAAGCTCCCATCTCTTTAGGACTGATATTTAACTTCTACCTAGACAAGCTATGGCACCATCCTAGGCTCATTGGACCATGGTCCAACCAAGAAATCAGATTCATCGATCCCTCTCATTAGGTCGATCACATGCCTAGTGTGAAGGCAGTCAATTCTCCTTCTTGGTAAACTTGAGTGCGAATGGTTAATCTACAAAAGGTCAGAAAGAAACCACCTAACAGGCAAGCTTATTTTTTTTATAGCATGGCCATGTTCAGGATAAAGGAAAATACAGCATACATCGACATCTAAAAGCAGAGCGCCCATAGAATAGGCTGCCTCCTATCCCAACTCCCAAGTCTGAAAAGAACACCTGAACTATCACTTGTACTACATTTTTATCGAGGACGAAGCGAACCTGCGGAGGAGAAGGTGGTCGATGAGGATGGTCGGGGTCGTCGTAGAGGTGAGGTGAGGTGCGCGTCGCTCCCCATCCGCCTCACCACGCACGACGCCCGCTTGCAGGCCGAACATCGCTCGCCGGTAATACCATCTCCGGCCGCCGCGGCGAGGCCGGCTGGGAGGCGACGGCGGAGGGTCGGAGAAAAAGAGGGGCGCGCCTGACGGCAGGCTCGCCCACGAGCAGCTACAAGGAGCCGGTCGTGGGCTGGCCCAGGAGAGACGAGTCGCGCTCAAGTCATGCCCACGTCACACTAATTTATGTTTCCTTATTTTCATTTTTTTGTTAGAATAAATATATTTTAAAACTTAAATTTTACTTTAAAAATAAAAAATGTGATTTGTGTAGTGCACCATACAGACGTAGGCGTTTATATATGTGCGTACACTCAACCTCTATGAACACACACGCATATCCTACCCCTAGGAGGATCTCCGAGAGACTGAGCTGACATGTTTTCTTGAGATTGACGATGTCACCACACACACTTCGTAGTCGATGGGAATATCTCCTCTTGAACGCGCAACATCATTATCCTCCTAACCATCCAACCACAAGTTGGTTCGCAAAAAAAATGTTAACAGGTATAAAAAATGTTAGCGCGATTAAAAAATATACATGACAATGAAATAATGTTTCTGTGATTCAAAAAAGTGTATGTGAACTTCTTGAGAAATGTGTATATAATGTAACAGGAATGTTGTGCGTAGTATAAAAAATGTTTCATACCATTTAACAGTGTACATGACATTTTAAATAAATGTTCCTGTGCTGAAAAAAATTGTGACATTAAAAATCATGTACTTTAAGAAAAAATTTATTACCACTAAAACATGTTTCAAAGATTTGAAAAAATGTTGGCCATGTATCCAAATAAGTGTTCAAAATGTATTGAAAGAAATTTGTACATCATTTATTTGAAAAATATTCAGTTTGTATCAACAAAATGTTTTACGTGTACAATAAAAAATGTATGTTGTGTAGTAAAAAAGGTAGCCATGTGTTTTAAAAAACAAAACCAACAAAGAAAACAAACAATGCAAAGAACCAAAGAAAAATGAAGAAACCAAGAAATAAATAAAGAAAAACAATTTATAACAAAGAAAAAGCAAGAAAGAGATAAAGACCAACGTATAACAAGGATAAAAGGAAACCAAACAAAACCGGTGAAAATAAAGAAACCAAATTATAATGAAGGAAAAAACCCAAAGATAACTGATGAAGAAATTTAAAAAGGTAAAAAAGACACTCGATATTTCCATGTTTATGTTAATATTCTTCGTAGTGTTGGGTGAAGTGCACCACTTAATTTTTGCCTATTTCGACATGAAGGGTATTACTATCTAGATGAAGCGGGGAACGAAGGTATTGCGGTGAGAAAAGCTACCTAACTCCTCGAGACTCTGCTAAATCCGTGTGATGGTGGGATGTGGAAGTACGGATGTAAATGGTACAGATAGTTTTGGTTCCGAATCCGTTTTTAAGGATATTATACGCACTTGCACGAATCCGCCGATATGGACGCGGATATGGATTTTGACAAACAGATATCCGTGTATTCTGTATTTTTTGCAGATTATCCGAGGTTATCAAATAGGACTATCTGATAAATTTGCCATTAACAAGCCCAAATACCCAATTAGCCTGCTAATTAGAATCACCACATATAAAATTGTTACTGTATTCGTGTGCGTTATGACATCAAACAGCTAGACACACTCCAGCGTTATGTGGTTGGAAAAAATTGTGTTCATATTTTTTGGGTACTAGAAATAAAATCATGTCTCATTGCACGTATGACTCGATATTTTCTTACCCGTTTTCGGCTCGTGTCCGATCTGCTCCGAACCCGGAAAAAATATGATAAAGGATATGGGAAAAGCATTATCTGATCCGACCCGATCCACAGTAGCTACTTATCTTCCCTTTCTGATCATTCGGTAGGGGAATAATGGAGATCCCCATTGGCCACGTCCACGAGGAGACTCTTAATCATCATTGCCATAACCTCAATATGGGGAGGAACCGTGGTTAGGTTGCATGCACGCAGATCTGCCCCGAGACGAAGGTTGCCCCCGCGTTGATTTGCTCGTTGATCTTCACTCCAATCGAACCGCGATGATCGCTTAGCAAGACATGCATGGGACACCAATGACGGAGATTGACCCGAAAAATCTTGAGGTGGGGGATCCCAAGCTAACCATCCAAGCACTATATATGGTAACAGGGATACAAGGTTTTACCTAGGTTCGGGCTCTCCGAGGAGATAATACCCTACGTCATGTTTGTTTTTATTACATTGGAGTAGATACAGAGCACATATGACTACCTAGAGATCATAATGTGTCCTCTACGAGCCCAACCCCTCAATTTATATAGATACCCGGGGTCTAGGATTACAACATCCTAGTCGGTTACATATGAGGAAATTGAGTCTTAGATGAATCCAACATCTTGGAGCACACGACAAGTCTTATAGAGTCTCCCGTTTATGCGTCACGGGCCGCTCGATGTGGGCCACTCCCGAACCGACAAAGGGGCCCTTGCCCCGACCCACCAGGCTGAGAGACGACGTTGTGAGAGGCCCCTGGATGGGACACCATCAGGGGGGTCGGTCGAATCGGCGACAAAGCTGGCGGCACTAAAGACGAAGATCTATCCCAACACGTAGATAGCGTCGGATCCGATCATAACTCCCATCGAGTTGCGATGATCACCTAGCACGGGAACATTTAGGATCACCTAGCACGAGCACCCACCACTATCGGAGCTAATTTCGATAGATCTCTCGGTAGGGGATCTTGAGTTAGGCGTCTTGGGACGATGGTAACAAGAATACATGATTTTACCCGGGTTCAGACTCTCCGAGGAGATAAAACTCTACGTCCTGCTTATGTTTTATTGTGTTTGTGTGAACTGGCGTGGTGAGAGACCCCTCACCCAGGACACCATCAATGTTAGCACTAGAAAACATGCCAAAAAAACATTTTAGCATTCTTTTGG